GCAAACGACTGGATGTGACGGTTTCCCTCCTGCATCGAGGACCAAAGATGTGCGGGGTTTGCGCGAAACCAGTCTTCGAAGGGGAATTTATTTCCTTTACCGCGGAGCTAGAGATTTCAAATTCGGTAGGAGTACAGGTGAAGATGTAGCAACATTGATGATAGGTTGTAGGGCTGGGTTCCGACTACAGGGAGCAGGATTTTTTTCGAAAATTGTCGTTTTGGACCTAGAGCGTTGAAACTTGGAAGGGACACAAGGAGTTGGTTTGAAGCATCGGTGGTAGATGGTAGGACCAGACTCCGCCTACAGGGGCGGAGCGTGAGCAAAATAGAATTTGGACCCAAACTTCAAATACAGAAGAGGTGCAGGCGGCAAGATGGGAACGTTGATGGTAGGTGATAGAAAGTGATAACAGTTGATGGAAGCTCATGTGGAGGCTTAGATGGTAATAGCCGCAGGCTCCGTTACCTCCTTCGTAGTCAAAGTGGAGTTTGGTACTATAGTAGGTGGTGTGAGATGTGAAGAGACTGTAGGCGTTTGTTGACAAAGACTGATAGCAGGAGAAGAGGGGTGACAAAGAGCCCCAAAAGGCTAGGGCTACTAGGCCTGTAAAATATGCTTTCCTGCGGCATCGGGAGCAGCCTTTACTGGTGGGGCCATTTTATCTCGCAGGAGAATAAGAGTGTCATCGAAACCAGACCCTGGGGTTCGAAAATCAGCTGGCGCCAACAGCGGTAGCAAGGCTGGCCAAGTTCAGGCCTGTAAGAGAGTTCGCGTTCTAAAGACCAGCTTCAATATATAGCACATTCGAACTCTGGACACCTACTTCGTCGAACAGATGACAGACGGATGGATTTTCGAGCCTTTGGGTAGATCCAGAAAATCAAAACAAGACCGGTAGAACGGCAGCGGACTCGGTGGGCTGTTTCGTTATCCAAATGTTTTCGAAAAATCAACTCACATTGGGTGCAAGGCTCTGAAGATGAGGGCGGTATGTATCAGCTGTGGTACCAACTGAGATGACCTCCTACCGATGAACCATTGAAGCAAGAAAGTGAGTATGGGTGATCAGTGTCTCGCCCCTTTAGTGCTCACCTTGGTGGTCGAGCTATAGATGAACAACTCGCTTTCTTTGGGGTCCGACCTCTACATCGACAAAGCATCCGTCGCGCGCAATCGCGAGATGTGAAGGAAAAGATTTTAAGTTCCACTGGAAAAATACGGTAATTACTGTGAAACCGCTGTCAGTTGTCGCAGGAATACGTCACCTATTCTCTACTGCTATTTGTTTTTTCATGAGTGTTCTGCTGCGACAAGTTTCTACTTCTGATAATTGATATGTTCTTTACTCACTCAGATCTTGGCAAATGGTAACAAGAACACCAACAACAAGTAGTCGTAGCTTACAACCTTCCCTTTCTTCGTTGATATTCCATCCGTCAACATTTCTAAAGACAGTAACCAGTAGATTTTCGCAATAAACACGGAAAAAAGGATAACGTGGTTCCTCGCTGAACCTCCAGCACTTGAGGAAGTATGATGGAATTGGATTGAGCCACACTTTGTTGTCTTCATAAGATATTGTTCAGTAGCAATTCATATTCATCGCTATCGCTGTCAACTTCTGTCACCCTCCCTCTCTATCACGTTACACTCCACAGCACCCATTAATTTCCAAGGTTCCACTGCGAATACCGAAAGCGTAACTAAACCATTTATTCCTTTCTTTTTATTACTTGCTGACCGCTTGAATAAATCTTTGTCAATTAATAAATTTCCGTTCCTATAACTGATGAAAAATTTTTGAAAAGTCAAAGGAAGCTATAAATTTGAGAAAACCGCACCAGCAAACGCACGTATGAGTTTTTACATACGGTAGTGCTCGGAAATGTTCTGCAAAACCCTGCTCTACTCACGACATTATACTTAGCCGATTTGGATTTACTTATTGTCAGAAGCAGATAATTTTTTTCTCAAAGTATTTTGCTACCATGTGAAAAAAATGGCGATTGTGGTGTTGGTCGTAACTTCTTGGCCATTCAAGCTCTCGGACTTTGACGTCAATCAGGAGATAAGTCACTTGCTGCTTCCTGCCGGTCGCTTTGAGAAGAAAGTGTGCATTTCCAACCACGTCTAGGGCTTTTTCAGCTTCTTATGCAGTTATTTTAAAAGTTAATGTTTTTCTGAATGCCTGTCAGCAGTATTTTCCAGTGCTATTGAGGCGTTTTCTGTGAAGAATGAAGGGAACAAAGTCAGAAAGCAGTCGTATGGTGGAACCGAGAACAAGTGCAACATTGCTATGTTGAGGGTACTGCCTTACTTTCCTCATTCTGCGGAAGATTGAACATGCTACCGCTAAGAAGACATGAATTTTGAATACTCGATCGATTACCCTGTAATTCAGTAGTAGCGGTAGCCCTCGATTATTTGATGTCTGGGCGTCTTACTGTAGCCATCATCCTCAGTTCGCCTAGATTTTAAATTGTTCTTCCGCTAAGAATTATGGGGTTTCTTTGGGCATGACTCTATAAGCTGAATTTATCAGAAATGGCTTAATCACAGAACTAAACATATTTAAATCCTTCCATATGCAGAGAAATAACATAAACTTCGAAGAAATATCAAAATAACCTCTCTTCAAACAGCTGTGTGTAAGTTCTTCGAACTCGATGTTAGCTTGGTGAGCTAAATAGAGCCTTTTTACGAACCGAAGTGGAATCGTCGGTACAGAAAACGAGAGCTTCGCTGTATACAAATACATAGTGATTTCGAGTTTGGATAGTTATCGAGTTATTGACATCTTTGTAGCGGAGTCCCCCTAAACAACTTCATGGGGCTTTCAGGAAGTTTGAAAGAGCAGCATAAGGCAGCTGCGTCAAGGACTTTTCTAAACCTACTCCACTCTTGTATAACTCAACATCGATTATCAACATCGATTGATCGATATTGACTGATATCATTGGGCATAAGTTCGTCCGTGACGTGTACTATTTCCCTTACAATACACCATCCTTGCAGTTGCGGGGCACAATGAGCTGCGGTGGAAAGAGGGAAGTTGCATTGAAGCATATACATAACTATGCTAACTGACGATTTTAGTGGTTCTGCACAAAACGATGTTACGAAGTATATGCCTGTGGTTCGGAAGAAGGGTAGAATCCATTCAGAACATTTCCTTTCTCTCCACCGCGATGTGCAGGCCAGTTTCGAACCATTCTTTCTTGCTGTTCATTTGAAGTTGGTGAGATCGAGATATCTGGAGGTACAAACTCTGTACAGGTTGTTCACAANATAACTATGCTAACTGACGATTTTAGTGGTTCTGCACAAAACGATGTTACGAAGTATATGCCTGTGGTTCGGAAGAAGGGTAGAATCCATTCAGAATCTTTCCTTTCTCTCCACCGCGATGTGCAGGCCAGTTTCGAACCATTCTTTCTTACTGTTCATTTGAAATTGGTGAGATCGAGATATCTGGAGGTACAAACTCTGTACAGGTTGTTCACAATTCAAATATACCGGCACGTTTTTGGTTCAGGTCAGGTGTGCGGTTGATGTGGTGCAATGATTCAATAGAAAGTGACAGTTTAACCCTCTCGAAAAAAGTGATCGTGAATAGCAACGACTTTTTGCTGCGATATGCGTTCTAGCAGCTGTGAATGCTTTGGTCGGAACATTAATTGCAGCTGGAGCTATTGAAAAAGAGAGAAATGTAATGAGAAATTATTTAAGCAGCCTTTCGTGTTGTTTTGATTCAAAGCAATGGCAACAGGATCACTTGGAAATAGAAATTTCGAAACACGTTGTGCTCGGACCACACACACAGTTTGAGATTATAATTAGGGATGTGGGACTCCGAGAGATGTTTTACGATGCAGGGTACGACCTTAGGTCCTGGTCGCTTTTAGAAAGCTCTCTATCACACATTTGGTTTCGCAGGTTCGAGTTATTACCTCAAATAACAATGTCCGGCAGAGGTTTCCCATCCAGATCGGCATATATGTATGTAGCTGTTAAGTTCATTGCTAAAATAGCCTCGAGTGATTCACTTCTTGATTCATTGCCTTCTAGCACTTTATAGATTTGGATTCACTGAATACCCAAGTGATACACGTCCATAGAGCCCATTTATGGTCGATTCTTGACTGTAACGACGGCATCCCCCTCCCGACGACGGCTTGATCGTCTTCATACACGCTGCCTGCATCGTCGGTGATGCCATATACCCTCAGTTTCAGCATTTTATGTCGGTTAATGTACAAATAAATCAGTAATTTGCTCAGCAAAAAAAGAACAGTGTGCTGGAACCGATTTCATTATCATGTAGCTCGTTTTCTCCTTTTTTTTCAAATAAAGCATCAATGTTCGTACACTGCTTTGATTCCATCAACATCCAAATATTTATACAAATGCGTTCGTCTTATCATCTATGACAAATGGCTGTGTTGTATAACCCTTCACGGCAGTGCTATTTGAGAGGCATCCTATCTATGAGTTACAAGTTACTCGATTGATCGTAACAAAACACTATGTTTTCACTTGAAGTAAAAGTAACTACAACATGGAGAGCAATGAAAAGCGGGACGGTCAAGTGTGCAGTGGCATTGAAGAAGCTCGATGGAAGCTTGCCATATGGCAAAACTCTGCCATTCAAAGCAGTTTTTGATTTGAAGGCAGTAGTCACGATAATTTGAAAAGTTGGCTCAAAAGTGCTCCTCGATTCGTTAATTTGGAGCTTGCTACGTGCTCAGTGACGTTGCTGTAAGCATCTTACACTTGCGTTGTTCATTCTGAAGCTCCGATGCGTCTCCGCAATCTTCTTTACCAGAAAAGCACCGCCACATTATACATATAAATATACACTATATATGTACAAATTATCGCACCCACTGCCCTTGAATGCACTTGCTACTTAAAAGCCGCGGAATAGAATTCTGAGTTAATATCCAGGAGCAAGCCTTGGCTCTGGACAATGTTCACACGCTCCCGCAAGACCCATACCACCTGGAGCACCTGGTTGGCCAGCTCCTCCTGGTTGACCTGGTCCACCAGGCATTCCGGGATCTCCTTGTGGGCCAGGTGGTCCAGGCATGGCCATTCCCGGTGCACCAGGTGCTCCTGGTGGCCCAGGTGGTCCCGGAGGACCAGGTGGTCCCATACCTCCACCACCACCTCCTGCTCCACCTTCTATCAGAGTTCCAGGTTTGCCAGGACCTCCAGGCATACCAGGCTCTCCGTCCATTCCGGGCGGTCCGGGAGGTCCTGGAGGGCCAGGAGGGCCAGGAATTCCTGCAGCTGACATTCCACCTCCGCCAGACGGTCCTGGTGGGCCCTAAAAAACTCATTCAGTAGAAACATGTGCAAGCCATCCATGAAAGTTCTAATGACTCACCCTTGGCCCTGGTCTTCCAGGCATACCTCTGGGGGCAGGTGGACAATCGAAGCAGATCTCACCTCCGCCGCCTCCTCCTCCATATCCTCCTCCGTTGCCTCCTGGAGCACCGTCGGCTCCTGGAGCCCCATCATTGCCTGGTAAGCCATCTTGCCCTGGAGGTCCGGGTGGACCAGGCGGTCCTGATACACAAACCTGAATGTAAAGACTGTTGAGTCAGCGCACCGTTAAATCTGCACCACAAACTACAACAAATGAAACCAAGCAATTAGAAAAGAAAAGATGCTTTCACCCACCGAACCACCGCCGCCGCCTCCGCCGCCGCCTCCGCCGCCGTATCCGCCGCCACCGCCGCCGTACTGAGGACCCGGTTGGACTACTGGGACCTGAGGCCTCGCCTGAAATCACATGAGTGAGGCACAATTTAAGACATTTCGCGGTGCATGAAAACTGAGAACTATAGAATGCATTTAGGTGTGCGTGTAAGTCGATTCTGAAATTGACGCCTCTTGAGCAGGAACTGAGATTTCTACCACATATTATTGAAGCTACTAGACTATTCACTGGCCTCAAGCAACTATGCGATCACTAAAAAGGATCTGCTCATTCTACATTTCCTGCCGTTTTATCTGGAAAACTCACTTTCTAGAGTTCAAAGCATTCGTAACTCACCGGCGCAGTTACATATCCGCGGGACGATCGGTATCTGTTTCGAGACTGCAAGAGTACCTTTTCGTTTAGTGAGAACGTTCAAACGCACTACGACTACGGACTAGTCTACAGCTACTTCTACTTTCTATGGCGCACTACGACTACGGACTAATCTACGACTACTTCTACTTTTTTATGGGTTGCCAGAAGGATCGAGCAAGCTCGTACACGACTTTTCATAAGTTTAGCAGCTGCCAGACTTCCTAGGGTTGGCTGAGGCCCATGCTATGCAGGGAGCACGGGCGTACACTGCCACCCGTACTCCCTGATTTATACTTAATTGCAAAAAAGCACTCAGTGGCATCAAACAAGGATGTCTTATCACAGTATGCACTGTCACCGACTTGTTTCTAATGACCAATGTCAGTTTGACAACTTTCCCTTTTACGAAAGAGCGGCGATTCGGAGCGATTTCTAGCAAGACCAAATCGTGGTCAAGAACTGCTGAGGTGTTGGCGAGCTACCCGTGAATTTCAAGTAATCAGTGAGAATTACGACACTCGATGATCGCCTCCATAGTGGCATTTCGGGAATATGATTAAGTGATCTCATGTGACAAATTCAAGACAACTCTGTAGGAGTTTCTCTTGGCTCCGTCATCACCGCTTCTGAGTTTTCTTTTGTTGGGCGGACCATAATGCTGTTTTATATGATGAGGGGTTCGTCATCTTTCCCGTTCTATAATCACTCAGAGCTCTTTGAATGGTTTCTCAGCTGGGTCACCATCTTCATGGCTTATACTGGGTGTGCATCAACAATCTTCAATACTCCCCTGGCCAAACATGCCCCTTGTGAGGTTACTGATGGCCCCTTTTTAGCAACATCACGACTTCGTCTGGGTTAGATCCGCTCGCGCTCTGTGCATTCACTACATGTGCCATGGATAGCACTCGCCAGGCTAATTATGACACCGCTTAGGAAAGTTCGGGTCCAAAAACATGGAACAGAAGCGCTGACAATTTTTGCATTTCTCGTCGAACGTTTCGGCACCCATCTGTTACAAACTTGTCACCTGATAACCGTTCTGCCCATATCCTTGATGACGCTTGATTCGACTCGTCTGACCGGTAATTTGCTCAACCTTAAAAAGCCAATTTTTAGTCTTTCAATCTGTAATTTTTCAAAAATATTTATATATTCACTACGTGGCAAAAAAGTTGTTATTAAACTGTGAGCTAATTTCCATCGTTGGCTCGATCACAACTCGCGGAACGTGTACGCTTAACGATTTTCGGAGAGCTTCACCCAGACACCCTTTATCCTATCATCGCCCAGACATCTGACCTAGCTCATCAACGCTGAGAGAATGATTGAACATAATGAGTTTAGTCACACACAGTGGATTATCGGAATAACAAAGGGTTAAAATCAAAATCAGTCAGAGATTGTAAAGAGTTCGCAAATCTACTTAAAACTGGAAAGTTTGGATTTCTGTTAGAAGGCTAGTGTTCGTTTATCTCTTTCTTAGCTGAACTCGTCGAGATGGTTCTTTAATTGTTAGAAGTCGAGTTCTAGTGAAATCGATGTCTTATGAGCATAAGGAAAGCTGTGGGGATGATAGTAGAAGTGCAAGCCTGTGTTACTGTAAGAGGAGTATTCAGAAGTGAGGCACACGTTGCCTCAACAGAGGCTTGCATTTGCCGCTTCTCATAGCCAATCGCTCGAATGTGACCGACATTCCCCAATTCGAGCCTCTCTGTGGACTGGCTCAATGTTTTTCAAGGTTCCCCTGAGACATTGTTTTACTCTGTGGGCTGCTGTGCCACCTACAGGAGCTTGTAATTGATGCCCTTCATCTTTGAAGCGATCGAGAATTCCCTCACAAAGACCTAGCTGCGACACTGATATCCAAATATTTCAACACAAACGCATCTTTCGCAGTGACCTTGATTTCAGCGAGGTCCCCTTGATCACGTTCCGCCAACTCTGCCCTGGAGCTGCTCATGAGAGATACCACTGATCTTCAAACCCAATTGCCTCTTCCCAATGACCTCCAAAGCGCGTGTCCATGCCATCGCAGACGTTGCACCCCTGTCTTCTCCTGCACAGTGTTGCTTGCCTGACTGCCCTGATATTTTCGTTCCCTAGCAGAGCCGCACTTCAGACCCATTTCAACATCCTCAATTCTGTGAAGCAAAGCCGCCTTCCACGATCACTGCCTAGTACTCGCTAAGCTTTTTCAATTCGGGCCTTCACAGCCCCGTTCACGGCACTTACGATGGTCAACAACTGGGCAGTCACTTCCTTAAGATAAAAATCCTGCATTCTTCCGGTAAACCTTTCACTCCAGCCTCTTGTGAGGATGAAGGGTGTAGATGTTCTAACATTTTTCTCTCAGTGATCTACGATTCATTTCAGATTCCATAGCTGTTGCGTGTAGGGACTGGCAATTGCAGTACTTCTCTTGACCAGCCAATCTTTAACCACATGGCATCTTATTAAATTGACTAGCAAATCTTCATAGAGTTGATGTCTCTTTCGGTGTTGCCTCTCGATCGACCCGCTATGCTTTTGTGTGAATCCTGTTGAAGCTGGTGTAATAGGTATTAGTTCCTTCTCAGTGCTCGTGATGAAAAGTTAAAGTTACTCGTTTGAACAAAGCGAGCAGGGCCAAGCAGGCATGCACGCCAACGAGAGGCTTGAGGTGATGGAACAAGCCAAGCTTCTTCATTACTTCCCGTGTCAATGGTAGAACTGCGAGCTCTTACATGTTCTCCATTTACCCGTATATCGAAAAAGATCAATTTTCACCATGCGTCGTAGCTCGCTGAAGTTGAGTTCAGCGAGTTCCGTACCTCTCGTCGTACACGAAAGTGTAGTCTGACATCGTGAAGGTGGCTGGGGCATGATCGCTAGATACTTCCCTCATTTTGGCTTCGGCAGCTTCCATATCGGCCCAGAGGGCTCTGATTGTAAGAAAAGTATGATAAGACGTAGTCAAAGACCTGTGTATGTGTACTCCATACTGCAGAAAGGAGAACCACTGGTGGAAGCAGTATAATCGTGCCTGCTAAATTGGGCTTGCTACTTAGACGCTGTCAAACTGGGACAGATTTTAGATTTATCATATTCAAGAAGTACATAGAATAGAGCTTCTTCTGCATTCTGATTAAATATATATTATAGTTTTGTATGCCCCTATTATATAATCCTTATTATATATAATTATACTTTAGGAGTTCATCTATTGTTACGAAATTTATGTAGAAAAGTTAGTATCATTATAGCGAATAATTCCCTTTCAACGATAATTTCTCTCTTGAAAGGAAAATGTTTTCTGTTAACAACATTTCAGGGATAGCAGAAAGGCCTTCACGGCGAAGTTTGAAAAAACTTCTGCCTTTGACAACGATGAATAGAACTTTTTCGGAACGGCCATTCTACTTCAACACATCGTCGCGCAGAAAAAAAAACTGCTTTCAACTGGTTTACTACTTCCGTAGATTTAGTTACAAAGAGACGCCGATTTACGACGTTCAAGAGTGGAGTAAGTGAGTGCAAACGTTTAACTTTTACGAAGTTCCTGTTTTTGACCTCAATCGGGGAGTGCTGCTCTACTGGAGAGAACCGACGAGAAGTCGGTATCATAAATTTGGATAAAACTAGTTAGTAGTGGGTGTAAATGCGGATGATTGTTAGTTCAAGTCTTGGGAAGTTATGCGATCTCCCTTTCTTTCATTATAAGTCATGTCACGGCTCGAAAGCTTACCTTCCTCATTTCATCGAACAAATTGTGGGTGTTCATGACGCAGAATCGTAATTCGACTTCAAGATGGGACTGTACGTTCTGAGCATAGGAGAACAGAAGCGGAACGACAACGATCGACGTCATCGTTGCCACGGCGGCCACCGAAATGCCGGCAAAGGTTAACCGGCGATATCCGGCGATCTCCTTTTCATCCATTCTGTTGTTGGCAGCCGGAGGGTCGACCGCCACAAACTTCCTGCAAGAGAGCTACATAAGAAGAACGGTGTTATTCTGTGAATCGCGTAAAACGGAAATATTTCCGGCAGACAAAAACATCCTTCCGAGAATGAAATGATACTGTGGGAGAATGGATTCGTGCAAAGAAAGAAACGAGTTACTGTGTTTACAAGACTTCTAGGTCAAGGTTAAGAATTGAGAGAGAAGGAAAAGGAAAGAATGGAGCTTGCGCTGAAGATATGAAAAACCCAGAGGAGCAGTCAAATTCATCGAGCAATCGCTCCGCTTTCCAATAAATTTCTTTACGCGAGATTTCCCTAACAAGGGCCATTCGATGCCCTTGGACGCCGCAACTAGCACGGCGTGCAATGAGCGAATACCATCGTACTTTGAGTAGTCGGTGAGAGTTAAATTGTCTTTGCTCATATCAGTGATTGGAAGCAAGAGCCATAAAAAGAATAATGAATAGCACGAAACGTTTCAGGCTGTGGAACGGACGGCTCAGCAGGAAACAAGCGAACAAGAAATTCGCGAAGTACGAGTTCCACAAAAAAAGAAAGCGAGACCGATAACCAGCGGTGAAGTGTTCAACTTAGGAAGGTTTAAATTACTGTCAAACTGCAAACTGTTAGATAGACTTGAAAATTATGTCAGTCGGAGCGCGCTCGGTTGATAATGATGGGCAAGAAGCAGTTTCATTCAAAAATATTACTCTAACATTCGAAACTTCAACAAGAAGCAACGTCGAGATTTTCCTCTGATAGAAAGTTCTACTTCATGCTATGTAAACCGGTTTTGAAGGTTTTCGGCTGAGAATCGCATTGTAGTTAGCTCATTGTTACATTGTGTTGCTTCAGTAAAACCAAGTGCGTTGAGGAAATGTTAGAATGAAATGGTGTACCACGTCGGAAAGTGGCGAATGGAAACGACATTGACGGAAAAAGAAAAACTTTCAGAAATAGCCATTTGTTTAAAAGGCATAGCATGACGGAAGTGAAAGAACGTGAAAATCTTGCAAATGTCGAGACATGATCCTCCGCTTCTTCGAATTTCTGCTCTATATTTTATGAGAATTGACCCATGTTGCAAATGTAACCTTGGACTCTCTGGAGACCCTGGACCCTATGCTGGGGTGAGTGCCTTCAAAAAAAAGGAACGATCCGAAGCACTGGGAATGAATGCATTCCTGTTCCGATTACTGCATCCTTACTGCAATATCAAAGGAAGGATAGAGAGGAAACGAAGGTAATTTTTCCCAGATCTGCTTCACTACAGTCGGAGGCATGAAGCATCAACTGCTTGGGTGTCCGAAGATGCAGCTCAAAGTCGAACTATTCATAGTAATCGTGCTTGCTGTGCTCTCGAGTAGTAAGAGCTAACTTTACAGACTGATGCTAAAAATNTCTGCCTTGTATCTGAGCACCATTCATATCCTAATTGAGAAGCCTTTTTGAATGCGGATACAGTCTACAAGCGCCAGCCTGTATTTATGAGACTTAAAGGATGGAAGCTTTACAATGTAAGGAAGTGAGGATTCAGATAACTACCATGGGAAGTACTCCGGTAGTGGTAACCGATTTGCGGGGTGAACCCACTTGTAAGCTAGGTCTGTTCTTAATAGCCCTCTCCTGGAATTAGACGAGGATCGCGCAATTGCACGCAATGGTTGGATTCCCAGGTGTTTTGTTATTGTACGCTGAACTGGTTTCTGTATTCGAGTGGAGGCTAAGTGGGAATCGTTGTCGATGCAGGGATGGGAGAGAAGATGGGAAAATCAGCTGCAAAGTTGCGTCGCCATTGTGAAATAGTCGACAAGTTTTAAATGTGATTTTGTTCATTCCAGATTTTATAGGTTCCTGTATTGTGTACCGGTTTCGATTTTCAATTTTCTGATTGATATTTCTCTCTGTTCTGAAGAGAACTGGAAGTGCCGATGTCTCTAAGATATTTCCCAGGATTGTTGATACGTCGGAACGGTGTTTCAAGGGCTCAAAAGGACGAAGACTCTATGCTCTGCAGTTGCTCAGCTTCAGAGATGAGTCCCAAGTAGTTGGTTGTGGTGCTGGCTGGAATATGCTGCCTGAGTGCAAGGTGTGGGTCCCGGTTCGAATGGTGCAATCTCTACACTTTTTACAACGCTTGACAACTCGTCCACCTTGGGTTTGTACTTCCGCTATTTAGGGTTGACTCGAATAAGGATATTTTAGATGGATTGAATTCGTTCAAATTCCCTAGTTTATTATAACGCCAAATCTGCCACGACAGCTTTCAGATTAGAGGAATTTTAACGTCCCGCGAACGTGTAATACAGTAACCCCCTATTACCTCAGGACTCACCCACGTGTGCTTCACCTGGGGAACCTTTCTGTTGCGTCGTATATGTGACAGATGTTTAGAGGCGCTTGAGTGGTGTTAGGGTTACTGTGTAACACATTATGACGATTTAATCTGTCTTGTGCTTTCATTGCAAGGGCGTCGTTATTTTCGTAATCCTCCAAGGTTCTGCGATATGTTTACTGAATAAGCATGATGGATATCGTCTACCTATCTTTTAGCTGCAATCGCACTGCAATACATGCTGTATGTTCATGTTCCGACGACGGTTACTAAATTCATTAAAAAGCAAGCTCACTTTTTACGGTTGGCGGACATAGAAGGATATACTGGGTGTAGTTGTCTAGATTGGAGTATAGACTGTCTAGATGAGTATGTCAAAACATCTCATCAACAGCGTTATTCAAAACATTACATGAAGCTTTGTGTCGCTTCACCAAATGCTAAGGAACTCCAACGCCCTTTCGCATATTCAAGTGTATACGATAAACGAGGAGAATCAGTGATTATACTGCAATCACTGGTATCGTGGCAGACGGCAAAAAGTCGAATAGCGTGTCAACCTCCTGTGAAATGGCACAAAAGATAGCTTCTACTAGCACTCATTCATAACCATGCTTTTGGAACTTTCGAACGTTGTACGGAAGAGCTGCAAACGTTCGCACAAGTGAGTTAGAACAGTGGGATCTCATATAACTGCCATCCACTACAATTGTATGAAATACCTATTATGTAACCACCACTCGAAGATGTGTTCACACCGAGCGTCAAGGCACTTGCGCTAGCATCAACAAGAAGATCCTCCTATACTGCTTGTTTCTGGTAGAGCATAGAGACCTCTCAGCTCAAGTTTCATAAGTGCAAGCGCAAATGGACTTTGTGAGACGACACGGATTCCAGGGTCCCGTGAATGTATCGCGCAGTAACCCTAACACACACTGGCTGCTTTCATAGTCCGCCGATCGGGGGCGGCGCTTGCCCCTCATTTACAACTGAATTTGGTCGATACCGCCGGCCGAGTAGTCCCCCGGCGGCCGGCGGACTATAAAAGCAGCCACTCAAGCGCCTCCACACTCGCCACATATACGACGCAAAAAGAGGATATCTTGGTTGAGGCTCACTCCATGCGTGCTGGGGCATAAGGGGGGGGGGTACTGTATCGCATGTTTGGGACGTCTAGATCCGCCTCCTCTACATTAGTAGGGCCCGTAAGGGTGCAACCAATATAACCAGAGTTCACAACATCGCTCTTAAAGAGGTGGGCATCAATTTGAAAGAAAATATAAAGGCGAGAGTTAACGGGCTGCATCACCTTGACGTGGCTCACGAAACTATCTGGTGAAATGTTCGCTAAAGAAAATGAAAAGGTCGCCGAGCACTTCCGTTGAACACTTCGCATGTGCTACCTATGAGCCACTCTGATAGGCATTGGAATGAGAGCTCAGGTAAGCACGATTTCCAACTTCTCGTTCGCTTCCAACGTTTTTTACCTACATCTAATTATCATACGCAATGCCATCGGAGCCAAACATCAAGCAAGCGGAACAAGTTGTCGTTGACTCCAATAGCGCGTGTGAAGATCCGTGTTTGAAGGCAAACCTGACGAGAACGATGTCCGAGGAAAAGACGAAATCAAAAAAAAAGTCCGGTTCATAATAGTATTTTCCTCAATGGCCTAAACCTTTCTGTGACTTCTCACCCATGCCTCTGTGTGGGAGCCGAGATGGCCAACAACGCGACACGAAATTTGGGCTAAAGGAAATGAGCGGTTGGTAGCATAAAGAGGCATTTAGAGAGTAACGGAGAAGATAACGTGTCAGTAATAAAGAGAATCCACTACTGGAGGCGCAAGCGATAGGACTTGCTCCAGAAATCTATGGAATTGGATGGGCTGGAGTGGGTTGAATAAAATGACCGTAGAGACCGAAGCTGTGGTTTTCTTTTGATTGACTATGCAGTGTCTTGCAAATTCAGATGATCTACATGCATCTTTTTTTGAATATTACAGTGCTAGAATTCTGGGAGAATGGAATTAGGCCAACTAGCATGTTGCAAAAGTGTCAGCAATGTCTCTAGGAGTCGTACAAATGAAATGCCGACAGAAAATCAGAGATAAGGGAACTTGAAAATAGTGACAGGGCACGGTTGTAATGCTAAAAAGTTGCTTATGACTCCATTTATTGTTCTCTATGTCTCAGCTTGAGTTGAGGCACAGCGTTGTGGCCTAACTTCGACGATTTCAGGCATGCACATTTTATCCTAGCCCTTGCTCATTTTATGCACCATGCTCTGTAGACTAGCACGAGCAAGGGCTCCGGTGAAGTGTGCATGCTTGAAATTAGCAGAGTCAGTGTGACAACTCTAGGCCTCAACACAAACTAAGACATAGGGTTCGAGAAAACCATAGAAACGTCTAGAAACAAAGAAAGGTGCTGAGTAATATCAAGCTTCTAACACCATTGGCGACCTCGCCTTTTAAAGGCGCTGTTCACGAAAAAGTGGTTTCGGAGATTTGCACATGGTTTGAATTCGAAGCCCCATCTGATACCATTTGTGCAGGAATGAGGTCGGAAAACGGCTGGATAGGGCACAATAAGGGCAGGAACAGTGGGGGACGGGAGGCCTCCGCCCCTCGCTAGGCTGAC